CATTTTTCAGAGATCCCTTGAAACAGGAATTGTACCGCAGATCTGGAAAAATGCAAAAGTTGTTCCGGTGTTCAAATCTGGCGACAAACAAGTAATTCCAAACTATCGACCTATTTCATTAATCTGCACCTGCTGTAAAATTCTTGAACACATTATTCACAAACATGTAGTCACATATTTAACTGAAAACAACCTCCTCTCCCAAAATCAACATGGCTTTCGTGCAGGATTTTCAACAGTCACGCAGTTGCTGGGGTTTACGCATGACATCGCTTCGACTTTAAACGATCGCGGTCAAGTGGACGCCATTTTTATTGACTTCTCGAAAGCGTTTGACACTGTTTGCCACAATAAACTCCTCCTCAAATTAAAAGCCTTTCTGCGCGGCACTCACGGCATTCGCTTGTTATCTTGGCTTTCAGATTACCTACATTTAAGGCAGCAGTTTGTCGCGTTTAACAATTCGCATTCGTCATCCCTCCCTGTCACATCAGGTGTGCCGCAGGGCTCAATCCTTGGGCCTCTTCTTTTCCTAATTTATCTCAACGATGTTGTCGAAATAACAAAAAATACAAAGGTCGAACTCCGTCTATACGCCGACGACTGTGTCCTCTATTCTTGTATTAGTACCTCCCGTGACCAAATACAGTTAAATAATGTTTTTTCTTCTTTCCGTACCTGGAGCTCAACGTGGCAAATGGCACTAAACCTTAACAAAACGGTAAGCATGACATTCACAAACAAGAAGGAACCCCTACGTTTTTCCTATGGCCAGAACATGAGGCATGTCAACGAATACAAGTATCTTGGCGTAACATTCTCATCGAACTTAAAATGGCATAAACATATAAACCTAATCTGCTCGAAAGCGCTCCAAAAATTGGGCTTCTTGAAGCGAACGTTAAAAGATGCAACTCACGAATGCAAACTAACAGCATACAAATCCCTGATACGGCCTGTCCTTGAATACGCCTCCGTTGTCTGGTCACCTCACTGCGCATGCGACATAGCACACTTGGAAGGTGTTCAAAAAAAAGCAATAAGATTCATATATCACCGTTATGATCACAATTTTTCGCCTTCGTCACACGCTGTACGTCTATCACTCAAATCACTTGAACACAGACGTACTTGCGAGCGTATCGGCACTTTACATAAAATCGTGAACAAGATAATCACCATTGACATGCCCTTTTCCTTTGCCTACTCCGTTGCAAACACTCGCAGGTCAAACCCCATTAACATCACACCCTTCATGCCATTTCTAGATTGTTTTAAGTTTTCATTTTTTCCTTTCACAGTGGAATTGTGGAATAATCTGGATGTTTCTCTCCGAAAGTTGCCTACCAATAGTTTTTTGAATGAACTACCAAACCATGTGTTTTGTTAGTTTAGTGTGTATTCACTGTTATGGACCCACTCCTGCAATGTCTCGAACTGTGAGACAGCAGTATTTGTAAATAAAATAAAAATAAAATAATCTCTCGTTTTTCCTTTGTTTGACACAATTTTAATGAGAACCTTGTGATGCCCACAAGCAGTTATTTATTAAGTAAAATTGAGAAAACATTCAACATAGTTCCTATTCTCTTGTAGATTTCATTTTAGACATTTTACTTAGGGCATGACTTAACTATTATTAACTCAAATAATTAATTACATTGAATAATGTGTAACTTTGTGTAATATGTTAAATATGTAATAACCTGTTTTACATAAAGCAGCCTTGCATTCATTGTATCGAGTATGGTGCAGTAGGCATTACAGATGTCATGTCCATTTGTTTTTAGCCAGCACAGTCCGCTGCAAGCTATATACATAGTACAGTTTTGGATGAATGTGCAGTGATAGCTATGTGAATGTAGTTCATTGTGTTAATCTACAAGTGTGTGAAATCATTCAGACTCCCCTGCCATAATACCCATTTTGATGGTGTAGGATGCGCTAATAATAAATAGAGGCATGCACACAGGCACTTGTGGTTACTGGATTGTATTGATCACTTTGGGGAGATAAATCTATAGTGCTAGCTCATGGACTTTGCAGTGTAACACAAATTTTGAAGGAATGTAAGCAATGAAAAATTTTCACAATTGTGGTGGTTTAGACATGTTGGTATGACTTGACCAATAAATTCTAAGCGCACAATCGGGTGAGGACAAAAAACATCTAAACACATTGTGGGGCTAATTTACAACACATTTTGGAAACCAGGGAAATGGAATATATTAGGACACACGTCAAAGTGATTGATAGGCTTACTTTTGTTAAGTTGCTGCAAAGTGTGGTGTCGACTATCATGGATGTAGAATACTTTGCATGTGAAATGTTTTGTTTATGGAAGCTTGCAAAACTTGGTTGATCTCTCCAATATAGGAATTACGAAAGGGGACCATGTCTTCACAGGAGTAGTTGATTGTTTAGTGTAAATTGATGTACGAAAGCATGCAAAATGTCTGTATTTGGTAGCTATAACACTATTAAATGTGGACACACCCACGTTCATGCCTAGTGGCACATCTTTATTCCAAATAATATTGAAGACCTCGACTTGACCCTTGTGATAGCTTAAGTAGCCAACATGCACTCAGTCACAGCTTACGGTGAATCCCACACAAATACAACAACAAGCACATAATGGACACTGGTACTCAATAAGCACTGATCAACGCATCATCCGACAAGACAAACGCTATGATGTGTGCTCGCATAATAGGATTACCTATGCTTGTGCTCATGCATATACAGCAGTTCAGGTGTGCAGAGCTTATAGATTAAGCTGCGAACGTGGGAACATGTTCCGTGTCTCTCCGTATATTGAAGCATTCTCTGCATGAAAATTGGCAGTCGATGTCATTGCCTTTCTCTGATGCTTATTGCAGCAGTTTTATTAGTTGGTGCGGTGGAGCAATACCATTGGTGCATGCACAAGCTGCTCTTTTCTGGTGATTAGTCTTCAGGCAACATGACGTGAAAGTCAGAGCTTACTGCATCCTCACATATGATGCATTGCATTGAAAGGTCTGTTGCACTGACCAATGCACTCCTTGTCGGCACTCTTCAGTGTCCTGATGTAGTTCTCGCTGCTTTGAGACGGGGACACCGCCCCCCAACAAAGATCACCACAAAAAGGGCGCGTAAGAAATGTAAGGTGTGTTTGAAAAGTTGGGAGGGCATGTTGTTGGCGCGCTGGTGCAAAGTGCCTGCCTGGCTTGTAGATAGAGAAGTTATGGATTTGATTTCCAGGTTATTCGTCAACTCAGTGAAACTTTTTCTTGTGGTTTTTCTTTGACATCTGTTTGTGTGCTTTTTAACCACGTCACTTCGATGACAGAAGGGATGTCAGGGGAGTTTTGGTGGACCCCAACATAAAACACTTGCGTGTTTACACAAATTACTGTTTGCTTTGCTTGAAATGTTGTAGAGCCGAAGATATTTATGATTGGTATAACAAGTGGTCATGATCTTGAGATTGGGCGGGGGTTGTGGCACACTGAGCATTCGTCAAACTCTTGAATATGCACTGTATCAGTTGTGTGCCCAGTGCCTTTTTGAAATTTGAAAGCGATATTGGGAATTTGAAATGCAGTTTGAAACTGTTAGAGTTTTTGCACACCTCCAATGCCAGTACAGGAACTATGTCAATGAGAAGCTTATCAGGTGCTTGTGTCGGTGTTACCACTCAACAATGCTGCGTATCTCTGGTGTTCTCTCACAATTCCTTTTTTTTTTTTTAAGTGTTCGTAGGCATCAGCAGTCCTATTGCCTTACGACCGTGAAATTCACCTCATAAGATTGTTGTTTTAAAGTCTGTTGCATGTTTGAAATTTATTGTTTGCAAGCTGATGGTACATAAAGTGGAGGCGTTTTACAGACTAAATTTCCTTAGTCTGAAGTCTGTAGGGGGCCTAGTCTGTGAAATTGTACATTCTTAGTGATGGGGGGGCATTGATGCATGAACATACAATGTCTGACTTAGCATTTGTCATGTAAAAGTAAGCGTTTTGTATGCTGTGTATTCGGCACTCTAGAGCATAGGTTGGCGAACTCATGAGTCTACTTACTGGGACCCACTCAGACTCCGAACAAGCCGGGAGTCTGAGTTTCAGTGAGTCTGGTTGAGCAATATGTTGGCGAGTCTTGACTCCGAGTAAGTCTGGTTGAAGAAAATTTTCGTGAGCGTGAGTTTACCTCACCAAAAGTTTGGTGAGTCTGTCCGAGCGAGTACAAAGCACGAGATATATTTTTTAAGTGAGGTGAGTCTTAGTGAGTTTAACTTTTTGTTTTCTGCAGACTTGTAGTGCTACTTACACATCTTTAGCATTACTATCAACCTTGTCTAGAATCAAGTTTGGGTGCACGTTAAAGAGCACCAGGTGGTCGATATTTCCGAAGCCCTCCACTACTGGCGTCTCTCGTAATCATCTGGTAGTTTTGCGACTTTGAACCCCACAAATCAATCAATAATAGAATCACGTTTGTACTTGCATCTACCCTTACATATCTTCACGAAAGGTATTGTTCATTCACCAATTCAATATTTATCATAGTTGATAATTACGTAGGAGGATGCCTTGACTGCTCCCACCCAACTCTTTCAAGAAATTCTTGATAAATATCTCTTTCAAGAAAAATGTCCTTACTAGTTTGCAATCGCACGTAACTCATATTTGAAGGTGCTATATTAAAAGGCACCAAAAAGAGCACCCATTACGTATATTGGTATTCAAGAGCATTGACACAATGGTGGAAAAAGCTAATTCTAGGCTAATAGAATTGTGAGTCAACCCACTCAGACTCGGATCGAGTCTGAGAGAGTCCAGGTGAGTAATTTTTTTGTTAGTATGAGTCAGAGTGAGTCCGGTTGCAAAAACAAATTGTGAGAGTTGGGGGGGAGTTGGGCTCAGGAAAATTGTGGCAAGGTTGAGTGAGCCCTAAGCATAATATGAAGTGTGCTTTCTGTTGAGGGTGCAAGCTCTCCTGGTGTTTCTGGCACGCAGGCACTGGAGTGTCGGGCGGGAGTGATGCCCCTGCGGGGCACAGGAGCTCGTGGGGGCTAAAGGGGCCCCGAGCTGGCAGCATGGCCCAGTGGCCCCCTCGATGGCGGCAGACGGCCCCCCCCAGTTGAGAGCGGCATCCCTGCCCCCCTGCCCCCTCGAGGAGGGAACCCCCAGCGCCACGGAGGAGGACGCTGCCGCCTGGCCACAGCAGCAGCACAGCAGCAGTCATGCAGCAGCAGCTAGCCACACCACCATCACTGCAGGTGTGTGTTCACACAGGCATGACTCCTGCAAAGGGCTCTCTCAGTGTTTCATGCATTTAGCAGACACAACCAAATCAATTGAACTGGCAATTAGGTCAGCAAAAACTATAGAGGACATTGATTGTTGCCTTTAACTGTAGGGTATAGTTGGGGTGTCAATTGAAATGAGCTGAAGTTGGTGAAAAATCGCCTTTTCCCTTGTGGGTGATTTTACCTCTGGGATATTCTTGACCTCATTGTTTGTCAAGTTCTATTTATTTATTTATTTATTTATTTATTTATTTATGGGGCCCTCGGGGTACATTTTGCTCATTGTAGAGGGAGGGGCAGAAATACAGTGTAAGAGCCAAATTAATACAGTATTATTTGTAACAAGCATAAGGAATAAGAGACACAGAGACACCCGATCCTGGGCCAGCTGTTCTATTCTGGTCTTCCTCTGCCTCGTTCTTCCTGGCTGCGTGCCCGAATCTCTGTGTCATTCTTTGTCATGACACAAGCTACAGTGCATAGAAGGAAGCAGCATAATAGTAAATACTACACACACAGAGTACATTTCATGAAGGAAAAATTATCTCTCTTTTTTATGAATTGCTTTCTAAGTTTAGTTTCTCTACATTTATGACAAAAAAAAAGAACATCAAGGTTGTAGTTGAAGTGGACCAAGATTGCCCTTTAAAAGCACAATGTGGCTATACACTTAAAAAAGCTCATTGTCTAGATTCCCCTGCAAATTGTCCCTTGAGTACTTGTCATTGCATTTAGTATGAGGAGTCCACCAAGGCAACATGCTCAAAATAACTTATTACCATGATCTCACGATACAAGGAATCAGAATAAAAAAAAAAAGACTTATCATTGCCACATAGATAAGCTTTCATTTCTACGTTTAAAATGCGTTTTTATCGATATGCAATTTTAGGCAATTTCTGGAGTTTGGACATCATGTTTTTAAAAGTACTTCTGATAGCCAAATTTCGCCGCATATTTCTTAACATGTGAAGAGTGCGATTTTCTCCTTTAAAGCATGGTATCGTTAATATTGTTGTTATGAATCTAAAGTAAGCAATGTGTATGTGCTGAGCATTTAGAACTTGTCACATTACAATTTTTCTTGTTGATTTAAGTGTAATATACAGACCTCTTCTATAGTTACTTGCATTGCATAGTCAATGTGGAGCAATATAAGGCATTATTTACTCATAAATGTAAAAGCTTTGCGGTAGAAAAAGTCTGTTTAAAAAGAGCTATATTTTCATGATACTATATTCGACTTACTATAAAACGGATTACGTATTTCAAATAAGCCTAAAATCCTACGTAAACAGCGATAATTTCATTGCCTTAGGCTTCAGTATAAATGACCTTTTTTTTTTTAATCGCACAGGCAATGAAAATTGAATATACCATCAGTTCACTTATTATTCAATGAATATCATTAAGCATGTAATTATACCCATTGATGAAGTTTATTATTAATTAGTCAATGTGATCATTAAGCATGTGATTATACCTGTTGGTACAGTTCATTATGTCGTCTTGATTCGAGTGGTTTAACAGCCTCGCCTTTTGTGCAGTTGTGGCTGGACGCAATTTGGAGTGTACAAGGCATATGACGGCAACAGAGACAGCAAAAACTCGTTCTTGTTTCAAAAAGTGCAGCATCGGGCAAATGTTGCTTCACATGTGCTGTGTAACAGGGCGACATCTGCTCTGAAGTTTCATTTGACTGCTTGAAACTTGCTTGAAAAGGCCTTTCTGGTTGCTCCAATCTTGCTACAAGGGGCACTTTTGCCTGCTTCCAGGACTGCTCCCGAACCCATGTACCCGGTTATACCCCTGTGATTAGTGCATTATTAAATATAGTTTGCTCAGTGATGGTTACTAATGATGCAGGTAGATTATTTCAATACCTTGAGATCTTGGGAACAAATGTGGGTCTGACATATAAATGAGCCCCTTGGAAAAATATTACTCTTCTTTCACTCTTAAATCTGTACACCATCGACAATTGAAACTATAGTTCAAACTTTCAATTAATTCTAATAATTTTAAAATTCTTGGTTGGCACTTTATATATTCAATCGGTTCTAAAATAACTTAATTCAAACTGCTCTGTTGTATACATTAGGTTATTTCATACTATTTGCCTGTCTGTGACAAAGTATCAGCGGCCTTTCCATTTCTAGCAGAAAATTTGCATATTTACGTCACTGTCACAAAGTGGATTGCCTGCCTATAAAGTAGAGAAAGTAGCCAAACTGTCTACAGTAACAATTGTATCTTGACTGATAAAGTAAAGGCAAAAAGAAATGAGATGGTCTGGCAGGGGTCCGTCTCCTGTCAAATGACTTCAAATCACTTTTGCCACAGCTCACTTCTGTTATGCAGAAAGGCATTGCAAGATTGTGAAGGAGCCACCAGCTGTCACGGGACACTGCACATTTTATCCCTTAGTTGCACACATACGTACACGTCTTTTAAGATTATGATAGCTGTTGTTTAAAAACTATTGGCATTCATCCAGAGCTGTCTATGACACTGCTGCAGCCTTAATAAATTATAAACATTACTGCACAAGTTTGCATGTTGCCCCAAGTCATATTTATGAGGACTACTAGTATTATCAGGCATTCATACCCCTGATATTTCATTCAACATTCTGGGTTTTTCTTGCATTTGAGCTACTGAAGACCTACTGTAGTCAGCAACAGATGTGCATAGCTCTACAGGCAAACTACTGGCATTTTCACTCCTACACGGAAGCAGTGCTTTGTGGTTGGTTTAGATCAATATATGCTACATTTAATGGTTTTGCATTCCTGCTTCACTGAAACATGTTTGTCACTTAATGCAGGCCCAACACATGATCCAGCACCTGAGCTGCTGCAGGGCTCCAAGGATGAAACACATGCAAGCTCTCGCAGCAGTACTGCTACGATGGAAGAAGTCACCCCAGGCAGTGGGAAACCTGGTTATATGTCCAGTGCTGTACATGTGCCCCCTGGCTGGCGACGGTCTCTTGTCGAAGAGAGGATTGTCTACTACAGGTAAGCGTGGTGGCCAGCTGCAGTAAAGACTATCTGTTACAAGCTGCCACTCAAGCGTCGCCAGCGCGAAGTCGGCGACGGGAATGACAGCAGGTTGGTTCGTTCCGCACGCAAGCAGAGACAGTGAAGAGATCAGAGACGTGAGAAAACAAAACAACTTTACTCTAGTGATATTGCAGCACACGGGATCTAATACAACACTTCAATACAACTAACAAAATACATCAACTTTATACAACTAAAGAAATATATAACAGAAACAACAAATCAGCTTACGAGAGAGAACTATTACAAACCACACCAACTAACAAGAATAGAACGACGGAGGAGAAAGTTCGAAGATATAAACAGGTGATGGCATACGTGTGATGACCGGCAGCGTTGTGTCCCCGACGATCGGATGCGAGAAGTCGAAGAGAGTTCTGGCACGACTGCGATGTCGGCGGTGTTGCAACGCTGGTGGCTCCGGGAGGCTAGTGCTTGCAGGTGATTCGAGCAGGTTGAGCTAACTCGAGGCGAAGTCCCGATGTCTACGTTGCAGACGTTAATATCGCGTCACAACTAGACGAACGGCTAAGTTTAGCTGGCCAGCCGATACAGAGCCACACTAAAAACTTCTAGAAGAGATGCTTGTTGATCTGTTTCTACACCATCTTGGTCAGCGACTAGTCTGCCTAGCAGGGCAAAATCCTGCGCTTAAATCCCCCTCGTGTCTCCTCGCTCTCTTCCTTGGGGACAAGAGACCTCTACCTGGGTCCAATCATGCGCGTTTAATTGATGGGAAACTCCGCCCCAAAAATATTTTGACCCCACCCCTTTTTAATTGGGAGAGGGTCCTCAACTAGCGAGAGTGACAACCTGTCGGGTTGTTGTCATACGGCTTGGCCACCAGAGCGTTTCCCACGCTTTTCCCCGTGGGAACGGTCAACCACTTAGCTCTCAGTCGGAGGAGCGTCTTGTAGTCTAATCTTTGTTCGGGGTATACCGCGGCCTTCTACGACCTTGCAGACGTCGCCACAGTTACAAAAGGATTAACTGTCGGCGGCGACGTTCTAAGAAGAGCACCCCATTTTGCACTTCTCGGACCCCTTTCATGCGCCGCCGTTTCTCACGGTCAGTCGGGGAGTACGGCGCCCGTTAATTGCCGTGACGCGGTGTCGCCGAAAATAGCCGTCCGTGACACTATCATTGCTGCCTGCTTTGTCGTATGACCATCGTTTCAATTTCACTCAGCAGTATGGAGCAGGCTAGTTGTGCTCATTAATGCTGAATTTATTCAGCAGCATAGTTACAAAAGCTTTAATCACCAGCTACGGATATAACAAAGTTGCAGCGCATGTTCTAACCAGGGAGCGAGTGCCGTCACATCAGCAAAGCCTAGCCTGACAAGAAGCAGTTTCTGGCAGGCTTTCTCAGCCACTTATTTTGATCAGCTTGGAATAAATGCTTTCTTATTTGTGCAGACAGGAATGCATACCGTATTTATTCTACCGCGCCCTCGATTGTAACGCACACCCGGTTTCCATGACAAAAAAAAATAAAAGTGAGACATGAATTGCAACGCGCATCTATTTTTCTCGTTGGCCCGCACGATCACACCACTCAGGAAAACGACTCCTTTCGGGAGCGTCTTTCGTTTAAATATGAGGTACGGGGGAAGCTTGTGCCTATCTGATGTGCAACGGAGCATTGCCGTCACTCTAGTTTTATTATGGCCCAATGTCAGCACGCGAACTTGCTTCGCCCCCTTCTTCTCGACAGTTGTGGTGACAGGCATGTCAAAGTAAAGAGGCGTCTGATCGGCATTCCCGATTTGCCCAAGCAGGTAGCCGTTGTTGTGCCGCAAGTTTAGGACGAACCTCCGAAAACTGTGAAGCCCGTTCGCCTTCGGAGGGAAAAGCCTTTCCTCTTCATAAAGTTAGTTAGCCAGCACCTGCTCGCTTTAAACTGGCTCCGCATTAGCCCTTTTTCTAAGGCTAACAGCATAGCCTGCACTTGGAGCAGTTCTGTCGCCACAGGCCGCTGTGCTGCTCACTGCTCAATCACATACTCGCCGAGCAGCTCTTCAATTTGCGTAAACCGATCCTGCTGTGGTCCACTGAAGCCTTTGCGTGAATCTTTGCTGTCGACAATCTTCTGCTTTTGTTTCCGCCAGTTCCGCACGCACGTTTCGGGAACTCCGAACGACCGCGATGCGGCCCGATTTCCGTCCGTTTCGGCACACGCGATGACTTTTCTTTTAAAAGCGGCATCGTGGTGCACTTGTCGAGTTTTTGGACTCGGTTCTTCCATGCCGTCGATGCTAATGCACTACAAGATGATGAACTCCTCAGCGCACGTACGAAGTGCCGCTCATGGGAAACACATAGGCAGAAATGGCCGACGCGCCATGCCGACGCACGTAGGGGGCGGCCATTTTGGAAATGCCGATGGCAATAGAATGACCGTATTCATTTATTTTTTCGTATTCGATTCTAACGCGCTTGCGATTTATGAACTCACTTAACCGGAAAAAAGGTGTGCGTTAGATTCAAGTAATTACGGTATTTGCTTAAATTGGGCCTCCAATTGGCTGGCGGTAGCTGTTGCTCTCACGCAGCATCAACGGCTCACTGGACAGTTCAAACTTGGTCTGAGAGTTCTGAACTTAGCAGCACCAAGGCCGCTCTCACATTACATTGACATTTTAATTCGACAGTGTAGCTCACCTGCGTGGATCACGAAAACGTATTACAGTTTATGCCCTTTACAATGGATCCGGTTAAAACGGACCACATGCGTAGGTTTGTTTGGTCACCATGTATTTTAAATAACATCCACTCCACTCACAATGGACCCCGCTATAGCTGACTATCTGCTATAGAACAGACTAAATTTAGGATGAGAATTTTTTAGACTGGGCTTTTGTAAAAAGCGTAATTATGCGGGGCCGATGCCCAATAAATGTTTTTTTCACTTAGCCGAGACACAACTGCCGTATTTACTCGCGTAGTCCTCACGCTCGCATACTTCTTGCACCCTCCACATCACCCAGCAAAAATACGGTACTTTTTTTTTCACAGTAATTATTGCACCCCCAATAAATGCAGCAGTAATGTCGTCTGCTCGTTCCAGCCATTGATGATGAAGGCGCACACCATCTAACACCATCTCGTAAGCATGAAGCGTACTATTATCGCACGGAGCCTCAATCTAATCCAAGACAAGCCAGAGGGGCAAGTGCTTCTTGCGGCGTGTTTTGTATGTTATGTCCCTTATGTTATTACGCTATGGGGCGATATGAAAGCTACATGGCTGCTTCCAAGTTGAAAGTGATTGATCATGTACTAAAGAACGGCATCATTGCCGCCGGTAGGGCCTTCGGAGTCAGTTTTGTGTTAGTTATTGGCGACAGCAGCTGAACGCCACCAAGACGTGCTGGGCCTTCCATGTGCCTAAAACTTAGATGGATGGTGAACTTTATTTCTTCAAAAGGCAACTGCAGATGATTCCATATTAAATAGCCATAAGCCCAAGGTTAACGTCGTACGCTAATGTATTGCGGGCTCCCGTAGAGCGACGAACGCTAACGCTACGCCCGCAACGCCCACAAGCTTTGCGTATGTTATTCTAATTCTCTACTATTTGCTTGCGACTTCCGTGTCTCAAATAAATCTTGCCTTCTGTTGAACATGAGGTTTTATTGTTTGCGCAAGTCTTAATTAGTGCTTCTCAAGGCTCGCAGTAAGTTGCTGGCATGAGAATCCCGATTTGCGGCCACTCTGTTTTATTTTTAGCTCTGTACATTTTCGTGAAAATTTCCCCCACATAATTCTAGCACCCCCAACTTTTTGTAGGTTTTCCGCGAGAAAAAGTGCAAGTATTGTGCGAGCAAATACAGAGGTATATCTGGCAACATTGTCGGTAACGAACTAGTTCGTGGTATGGTTGAGCCAAGCCAATCTAGTGACATTTATAAGCGGCTCGTGTTTGTGCGACCAGCGACTGTGCTTGGTGTCTCGGCTGCGCACTTTCGTGAAATGACTGAGCGCAAGAGGAAGTAGATTTCACTGTAAGAAAAATTCAGGCTAATTATTGTGCCGATAATGGTGAAAAAGAAGCGGGTGTCGCCAAAAAATGCGAGTTCAGCGAATTGCAAGAAAAGCGCTTTCTAATGCACTAAGCGGCAAACCCGAATGTCGAGTCTGTTTTTCTGATATGGCTAGGGGACACTCGTGCTCGTGGAATTCCTGTTAATGGACTTTTCCTGAGGAGCAGAGCTGAACAACTTGCCACGCTCAAACCAAAGCAGCATATTTGAGAAGCTGTATGTGGCTGTAAGTGTCGTTGCCGAAAGCCTCCTGATAATTTCTCGGACCTCCTCATTTATTCATACTTCGTCACAGTACCACACTGCTAAGGAATTATACATTGAATGGTCGTTAAAATTCCATATGTTGTCAATTTTTCAGGGATGTGCGCAGTGGCAAAAAGAGCGGCAACCAGGGACCACCACCCTATTGTTGCAGATGCATGCCCTCGAACTTGTTCAAAATTAAAGGGAGCACACGGGTCTCTGGGGCCAAAAAATTGCCCAAAAACGCATTTTTTTTAGATGTCATCTTTGAAATCTACAGGTATTTTTCTATTAGTTTGCTCAGTTTTTCCTTCGAAAAGTTGGTACTTGAACAGTAACAGCTACTTATAAAAGCCGTACAGGCCCGATTTGGCGAGATTCTGACGCCAAAATGGCAATTTTTCAATAATTCCCCGCAGCTGCGCCACGGCCAGTATCGCAGTGATCTAGGTCTCATTTGAAAGCGCGGTCTTCGGTCTTCAATTTCCCGCCACTCTGGCTCCTGTCCGCTCATTGGTAGAGTAGAAAACACGCGCCAAAAAAAGCAAAAACACGCGTTCTTATTCGCCGGCGAGCGCACGTGACTAAACAGCACAACGCGATTGGCCGCAAGCGGCGTGTGTCGTCTGCTTCGCGCCGTCGGCGGCGCAGTCAGGCGCCATATTGCTCGGACTGAGAACGACGGATTAGCCAAGGATCGCGCGCGATGTGGAAAGCCGGAAGGAAATTCCACACAAGGAATCAGTACGGCAAAAAAAGAAAGAAGTCGCTCCTCGAGAACTTCAAAGGCCGTTCCGCGTCAGCGAGGAGCGCTGAACGAGCAAGCGACCCACCTTCCGTGGCCAGCGGCGAGGCCCCTGATAATATAGGCCTAGCACCTCCGCGTTCGCCTTGACACAGCAGTGCTGCACGCGTTAGAAGTGGCAGAGGTGCGTCGCAACGCCGAAAACAAGCTGCAAGAGCTCGCTTCAACTGGAGCTACACAACGCAAGTGCAGCCTGTTAGCCGATATCGACGATGCCGCAGCCACGCCGCTGGACGAAACACGGTTTTTGATCGTGAGTTTGGACCAGGTGATCGAACTGATGCGTGCAGTGAAGTTCAAATTGTGCTCCGGTGATGTAAACATCGGCAAAGAGAACAGGGAGTACGGCCTTGCCGTAAAGCTAGTGCTTACGTGCGCGACCTGCGGCGATGTGTCGGTGGCATGGAGCTCGCCACGCGTTGACGGCGAGAGCAAGGCAAAGCCGTTTGCCATCAATGTTTTGGGCGCGCGCGCTATGCAGTCTACCGGCAATCAGCAAACGGCATTCAACGACGTTTTTTCAGCGATGAACCTTTCTTCACGCGGCCTGCACAACAAAACGTGGCAGAGCTACGTGAAGACGAAACTGACGCCCGCAGCTGTTCGTGCGTCGGAAAAGCTGACCGCGGAGTGCGCGCGATAGGTTCGGGAACTGTACGCGGAACTGGACCTCGGCAACCCGGGCAACATCGCTGTGTCGTACGTCGGTTCCTGGATGACGAGGGGACACACGTCGCACATCGGAGTCGGCACAATTATCGAGTTGTTTACGGGGCTTGTGCTCGATTATGTCGTGCTCTGCAATTTTTGTGCCGGCTGCGAGCGGGCGCCTAAAGAAAGTGACCCGTCCTACGACGAGTGGAAAGCGAACCACCACTGCCAGAAAAACAGCACAAAAAAAAGCTGGAGAGATGGAAGTGGAAGCTGCCCTCATTCTGTTTCAGAGGTCGTGGGAGCGTCATAAGCTGAGGTACACTACAGTTCTTTGTGATGGCGACTGCCGCACCTACCCTGCTTTGAAGGAAGCAGATGTGTATGGTTTTATAAAGGTAACCAAAGAGGAATGTGTGAACCACGTCCAGGAGAAAATGGGCACGCAACTGCGCAATCTCCCCAAGCAGAAGAGGCCAGCTGGCTCTGAGAGCCTCAGTGGTAGGGGGCGGCTGACTGGTGACCTGGTTAACAAATTGACCTCTTACTATGGCTGGGCCATCAAATCTCACAAAGGGGACGTGCCAGCCATGCACAATGCTGTGATGGTCACATACCACCATGTGACGTCCAACGATGCCGTGTCCAACCACAGCCTGTGCCCTACAGGTCCTGACTCGTGGTGCCGCCAGAACGCTGCCAAGGCCAGGGGTGAGCCGGCCCCCGAACACCGCTACAACCTGCCGCCGCATGTCTGTGAGGCCTTGCTTCCAGTGTACGAACGCTTGGCGTACAAGAAGCTGCTGGAGCGCTGCCAGCGAGGCAAGACTCAGAACAGTAATGAAAGTCTCCACTCTGTGATTTGGCCGCTGGCCCCGAAGGAGCGCCATGCATCACTGCACAGTGTAGAAGCTGCGGTCGCCGAGGCAGTGATGAGGTTTAATGCCGAAAGTCAAGTAACATCATCCAAGATTCTCAAAGAGCTGTGCTTGAACCCCGGCCTACTGAGTAGCAAACGCATGGCTGAAAAAGACCGCCGCCGAACCAGGGACTCTACCCTCAGGCGTGCGTCTGCAGAAAATGTGCAGCGGACGCTCAAGAAGCGGCACCTGGATGCCAGCAGTCAAGGGGACTATGCTTCTGGGGCCTACTAGTCATTTCGCTCAAAAAATGTACAGAATGTTTTACCGTTTACATTAAACATGGCACCGTTGTGTTTTTTGCCATTTTCTCAAAATGCATAATTTGACGTTTAGGAAATTCTTGAGAGGTACATCTCGGCATGCGGTGCAGCTAGAAAGATAATTTCTTTTGCATTGTCAAGCTGAATGTTTAAACCTTGAAGTAAGGGAAACGGATTTTGCATTTCACGTTTAAATATTTGTTTAATTAGCATTGTTTATAACTGGTTAGCAGGCATACTTTAAAACGAGAAATTACAATTGATGTAAACTTGCATGTGTGATTGCCAGACAAAAAAACTGCTTCCGTAATTTCATTCTCCACAACTTCTAGTATCTATTCATGCCATGCTGGTAATTTTTTGTTGACTAGTTTTTTTTTTCTATTGTTCTCAAGAACAATCACGAAATTGTTTTAATTATCTCGGGAACTAATTAGCTTACATCAAAACTAATTGGATATTTGAAATCAGCTAAAAAAACTGAACAAGCCCATGGAGTTTCATTAAAATTGGTTGGAAAGCAAAAAAAAAGTTTTTAAGACCAGTGTGCCCCCTTAAGTCGGCCCTCTTGTATCCAGCATCAGCAGAATGTTTCTTTGACTCGGCACCAACCTACTACAACTACTCACAAGGCAGCTAAGGTGCATTATGCCTAGCGTGCAGATTGCAACCTATCGTGCCGTCGCGAAAAGCTTGCTCAAGGCAATATGGAGATCAGGTGTAAAAAAATGTCACACTGGTGAGCTAAATAGCGAGCAGCAAGTATGAAACAAAGTATCAGCTTTAGCACACTCTGGTGGCAGCCTAATAAAAGGGCATAATTGTAGCACCCTCTACACTTAGGGAGTCTGGAAAATCGTCATTTGACTGTACTCTCTACACAAATCGAAGACCCAAACAGCAGTAACTTGCACTTGCAGACGAAGGCGCTGTCAGAGTGCACTAAATGCATAACAAGCCTCTGGAGCAAAGGGAGCAAAGGCGGCTGTATTACCTTGGCAGTTGCTAACACCTCCTGACATTTCGTGCCCACGCTGTCCTACTGCGCTCCCCCACACTTGTTCTTTTTTTCTTCCCACTTTTTCTGTTTGTTCACTTCGTGTCCCCTGCTCCTCGTAACACCGTGGTTGCTCTTTCCTCTGCTGGGTTCCATAGATACTGAGAGGCGTGCACACTGCCTTGTATCTACGAAATTTTCCGTCAGCTGCAATAGAACAAGTCCTTCACCTTCAGGGACTGTACAATAAGCATATACAAGGAGTTCTGTGGAGTGTAATTGGGAGTCTGAAAAAAATGCATTGTAACCGGTTATTACGCTGTCAGTGGTTATCGTCTGAATTGCAGTTCTGTGTGATGCCTCAGCTCTTGATGGGTTAGCCGGCTGTTTCTCTATCATAGTCAATATGCTCGCCATATCTTTCTTTCTTTGAGGATGGTAAATAACAGTGCTTTTGTGTCATCTATGGCGATTTCTTGCATCGGACAGCCCAAGCAACCACCAGCTGCGGACTCTGGACGAGGTGGCTAGGTACCTGCAGACCGACGGTGTCTGCAAGTGTGGCCTGGACTGCCCTCTCAGCCTTGAGAAGACGTTTAACTTCGATGCGGCAGCTGTCTCTCAGCCCTGGTCACCCACTGCCAGCAGCAGCAGGTGCAGGGTGCCTCAAAATGGTGGCGCTGCACCCGCAGTTGCTGCACTCACAACCACAGCCACAACCACCACCCACCACCATTACCAGCAGCAGCACTGCCTGCCCAAGTTTGCCCAGCTCCAAGCCCCCCTTGCCAACGGCAGCAGCCACGGTGGCATCTCCACTGGCCAGGCCTGCGAGAAAAGGTGCGTTCGTCTACTTCACAGTGTTTCCAATCCTTCACTTAAAGGCCGACTCCAGCGATTTTTCGACCGTGTCAGGATTAAGGTGCTTTTGTGTTTTTTATATACTCTTGTCACGCTCCCGATAGCTGAAATGAAAATACCTCTCAATTACCGAAAAAACGTGAAACCGACTGTGCTACGTTTGACGTAATTATTTGCCCGAACCTGCCTGATTGCTCATAATACCCGCCAGATGACACTACCTGTCCACGCTGTCCGCCGCAATCGGCTAAAACGGTTACGCTGTTATGGTGAACATATGGTGAATCGTATGTGGCTCACGATGCACACCACTTGCCACCTATCACACGCCCACCAACACGCAAAAAAATATCACACCTTCAACCAAGGAAGTGCCGGCCAAACCCACACAATCCATAACAGACAAGCAGACACTGCAGTGGCTCATCAGTTTCGTCACTTCTGCCAGGCAAAACTCAACGTCACATGCACGATGTTGCCATTAATTCTGGCAAGCGACGTGAGCGTTTCGTGGCAAGCTATAATATTCATTTGATAAGAATGTGCAAAACTCTAAAGCTTGCAATTTAGCATGAATGGCGTAAACGTGCAAATGAATGTGCCCAGAGAATTTCATTGAGATCCATTGACCTTCAAAATTCGCTGGAGTTTGCCTTTAAAGGGACACTAAAGTCAAATAACAATTTACGTCAGAGTGAAAGCTCAATGTATGTTAACATCTAAAACAACAATATTTCAACAACAGTGCCCTACTTACCGAGAAATTAAGGTAAATGCACAAGAACACAAGCGCCGCAGTAGAACATTTTCAAAATGATCTCGATGACATCAGGCGAATCGCCTATAATCAATCAGTAGTAATCGATCTAACTGCACTAAATAAAGAATCTTTTCTGCATCAAAAGACGCAATAAAATGCTGCTCGTTCGTTTCTGTTTGATTCATGGAAGAAAGAACCGCCGGACGTTACTATGAGGAATGGTGCGAGTAAATCAATTTTCGCGTGGTTACACAGGACAGGTGGTGCCATCTGGCGGGGCACAGTTGAAACAGAAGCGTCTACAGTCTCTAAGCCAATAAAGGGAAATTGATCAATGGCCATTGTTGCTGCTGTGACTCCCGCTTCTTTCGGGCTGCTGCTACTAGTGCAGTAAAGCCGGGCAACGTTGTGCACGGCAACAGTGACGTGAGACGGTCCGGTCGGCCCGCTTCTTCAGGCGGGTAAATTGAAGTGTGCTAACCCGATGCGGAGCACTAAAGCGTGATTTTATTTCAAAGTAGGCCCTTCCTTGGCACGAAAGTAACACTACGAGGTTTCTGGACCACCATTTCAACAGTTAACATCAACTTGATAGTTGGCTTTAGTGTCCCTTTGAGACGTATTGACGCGTTTCAAATGATATGTGACATAACTACAGACTAAATTATAGTATGTACAGTAAAAATTGATTATTTTGACTTTTGTTAATATGTAAAAACGGACAGTTTGGACGTGTTTTTTGGTCCCAGAAGGCTTATGCATTGGTTAATTGCATGAAATGCTCCTTTATTAGGCCTTAATTGACCACAACTTGGTTTATTCAGGTGATCTGCTGAATGCACCAAGCATGAAAGGTCGCAAATGTGTGACGTAACAGAGTTGAAATGGCATACTGGAATTACTGTGCCCATTCCTTACCTGCCAGGTCTCCCGGATTGTCCAGGAGACTCCCGTATTTTGACCAGTTCTTCCGTTTGTGCGCTTGTCATGAAATTCTCCTGGAAATCAATGTTTTTGTGTGTGATTTGGCCTAATTGACAAAAATGCAGGTCAGTCCACTCCAGGCATTTTGCGACCCCACCGCATTTTATTATAAACGAATTTAGGAGGCGTTCATCTAAACATACACTAGTCTTAGTGATGCGAAACTGGGGCCGATGCGAATTCGTGAAATTCCTCAGCCAAATTCCACTGTGTCTATTGGGCCATAATTTGAATGTTTCGAACACTTTTACAAACCACGGCGTGTAATATGAACTTTAGTACTGAAACCAGCGAACGAAGGCGGATCGAGAGCATCGTGCTCGAAGCTTAAGAAGCATGCGTGCGCCCAGCGCACGCATTGTGTTTTACAGTGCATGTGGTTGTTTTCACAGCCGCTGTGGACGAAACCACGGTCGTACTTGACACAATCATGTATGGCGATGACACTAACAGTACTCTGAAAGTTTGTGCTCGTTCAATGCTCGACCAGTCAAAGCAGCGCAGCTCTCCACAACCTGTGGACAAGATTGTGGCAAATGCGAATATAGAAAGCATAAAACGACTTCATTTTGAAGGCACGTGTACAGCCACTGCACCCGGATTAAAAAGGGATACAGTTTGCTGCAACCGCCGCGCACAAAACCACGGTCCCCGCGACGCAATAGTGATCTACGAGCTCCAAGGACACGTGGCTAATGCAGCGGTAAATTAAAGGCAGTAAAGACATGAGAATAAAAAAAAAAAAAAAGGCTAGGAGCCTTTTGGTTTTCTTGTCCAAAGAATCTAGTAGCGAGCAAAGCCAAAGCTTTGACTCGCACTTTCATGGCAGCCAGCTGTGCTGTCCCATCCGTTCACGTGTGTCCCAGGAAGACACACAAGTTGTTTTGACGGAAATAAAATTTATTGCTTGTTGATTTGATGACGCGAAAATTTTGGGAGTATTTGCGCTGTTTGTTGAGACTCTCACCTTAGCGGGAAACCTACCTCGTGTGTTCGGCCACCCCAAGCCATTCATTATAAGGCCGCAACACCGCTGTTGGCGCCTGTGACTGGGACCCCCCTCTCCCTCTTGTTTTTGCGGGATGTATTTTTTTTCTTTTCTTTGGGAGCGAGAAAAAAAATTAGAGAGAAATACTTCAGTGCGTCTACCCCACCCCCCACCCCTGTTGCAGAAATCTCCCGGATTCAAAATTTTTAAGCTTGGCAGGCATGGCATTTAAAAAGGTGTGGTTGCCATCCATAATATTAATGCTATCTACATTGTTGGCAACCTTTAGCAGCTGTAGCCAACTTTGACACACACGAGCTGCATAGGCACTATCGGTGATCGCAACGATAGTAACTGGGGTCGAAGCTGCCTCAAATGGTAGTTTTGTTTTCGTCTCGCATTCTTTCAGAGCTGTGTAATTGCCATCCATGATTGTGCATTGGCACGGCGGGTTTATTTAGCAGCAGATGTGTTGCTTAGCAGATTCATTTCGACACTGGACATAGGCCATGCGTGTGCCTTCAAAACTGCGTGTAGGCTATTATCATGCCTTGAGTGTCCACTGTTTCATCCTCAGAGGATGCGCACTTTGTAGCTATGTTTTTAATTTGGGCAGTGCTTTTGCAATCTCATAAAACTCAAACATAGAAGCTTTTAAAAATGAAGAGCTTCAGTCGCAGTCTTTATGCTGACATAAAGCTTCCTTGCTACATTGGGATAAAGGAATAATCATCTGCTGGTCATATTGCTCGCAAAAAAAAAAAAAAATTATCATGTGCTTGGCGTGGTGTTAGTGGTGGTAGTATGTTTTAAAAAATGGTTTCAGAGCACGTTTGTGCAATCTCATAAAACTCAAACATAGAAGCTTTTAAAAATGAAGAGCTTCAGTCGCAGTCTTTATGCTGACATAAAGCTTCCTTGCTACATTGGGATAAAGGAATAATCATTTGCTGGTCATATTGCTCGCAAAAAAAAAAAAAAAAAAAATTATCACGTGCTTGGCGTGGTGTTAGTGGTGGTAGTATGTTTTAAAAAATGGTTTCAGAGCACGTTTGTGTTTAAGATGAGGGTAATTGGCCTCGGTCACATTATGGACGAAGTTGAAAATGATGAAAATTTCAGCCTTCACACTTCTTCTTTTATGCAAAACAACTACTACATTTACATATTCATCAAGAAAATAAAAATGCATTGATGTAATAAGAGCTTGTTTATTGTTTTCTTGATACCATATTTATTCGAACATAGACCAATCGATTTTTTTCTAATTCCTTTGTATTCAACTTCAGGGTCAGCTTAGATGCGAGAATTTCGAAAAATGAGCCATTTTTCATTGAGAGAAGTGGTACCACATAGATGATATTAAAGCTGTTAATAGCCAAGCCAACACCTGGTTTAAGTAGCATGAGTACCCTAATTACTCGAATCTAACGCGCACCTTTTTCCGGTTAAGCGAGTTTATAAATCGCATGCGCATTTGAATCGAATACGAAAAAAAAAATGAATACGGTCATTCTATTGCCATCAGCATTTCCAAAATGGCCGCCCCCTACGTGCGTAGGCATGTCGCGTCGGCCATTTCCGTCTATGTGTTTTCCATGAGCGGCACTTCGTACGTGCGCTGCGGAGTTCGTCATCTTGTAGTGCATTAGCGTCGATATTATAGAAGGGCCGACTTCAAAAACTCAACGAGTGCAACAAGATGCCGCTTTTAAAAGAGAAGTCATCGCGTGTGCCAAAACGGATGGAAATCGGGCCGCATCGCGGTCGTTCAGAGTTCCCGAAACGTGCGTGCAGAACTGGCAGAAACAAAAGCAGAAGATTGCCGACAGCAAAGATTCACGCAAAGGCTTCAGTGGACCACAGCAGGGTCGGTTTCCGCAAATTGAAGAGCTGCTCGGCGAGTATGTGATTGAGCAGTGAGCGGCACAGCGGCCCGTGACGACAGAACTGCTCCAAGTGCAGGCTATGCAGTTAGCCTTAGAAAAAGGGCTAATGCAGAGCCAGTTTAAAGCGAGCAGGTGCTGGATAACTAACTTTATGAAGAAGAAAGGCTTTTCCCTCCGAAGGCGAACAGGCATATGCCAAACGTTTCCGGAGGAGTACGATGAAAAGCTTCACAGTTTTCAGAGGTTCGTCCTAACCTTGCGGCACAACAACGGCTACCTGCTTGGGCAAATCGGGAATGCCGATCAAACGCCTCTTTACTTCGACATGCCTGGCACCACAACCGTCGAGAAGAAGGGG